TCAGGCCTGTGCTCCAGGCTCTGACATTGTTGTGACCCCTCTGGAGGACATTCTTGTATTCCCATCCATCTTGAATTGGAGCAGAGGAAGAGAAAGGGAGGCAAAATGGACAGGGTATCCCAGGAAGGGCCTCAGCAGTGCTTTGCAGAGGGGGATCTGAACTTCTCTCAGCGTGCTAGCCCTGCTTGTCCTACAATTGGTCACTTGTGTGGTTTGCCCCGTGATGAGGGCACGCTGTTGGCTCACGTTCACTTTGTCCTAACCCTCAGGTCTTTTGCAGCAAGGTTGTTCTTCAGACAGTCGCTTCTCAATGTTTACTCATGTGTGAGACTCTTCTGCCCTGCATGCAGAATTTTGCACTTCTCTGGTTTGTTTTTCACATTTCCCAAGGTCTGTGCGGTCTAAAGCTCTACTGCTTGATGAGTTGATTTGGCCTCTGCTCCCCTTCCTGCCTCCCAGCCCCCAGCTTAATGTCATCTGCAGGTTTGGTGACATTCCAACATTTCACTTCCATATAAGGCTACTGTGTCAGAAGTCCTGCTTAACTCGGTTGGATAATGTTGACATTGATGTCTTTTGCTAGTCCTAGCTTTAACTGGGTTTTGGCCTTCCTATTTTTTGCCCAAGTGATTACATTTTCCTTTATTCCTTTTCTTCTGTTTCTGTTTCTTGTGTGCTCCATTTTTGTGTTAGTTCTTTGGGGTTTTTTTGTTTTTGCTTTTTTTTTAGTGCTGGTCCTAATCATCTGATTATCAGGAATGCTGGATGAAGATTAGGGGCTGGACAGCCCTCGTCTTTCCTCTGTTGCTGCCAGAGTTGTGACCTTGTTCTCTTGATTAATTGCTACAAATGGAGATGGAGATTCCTGGGGATTTCTGTTGTTAGCCAAAATCTGAAAATAGTGACATAAATGTGAGAGTTCGTGTCAGCTTCCTGCCATTGGCATCCCTTTAGCCCCAGCTTCTCGCCCTAGTGGATCTCAAGCTAATGCCTCTGCAGACTCTCTGAAAACCCTCTCAATGTCCTGTTCATGCTCCCCGATACAAAGATATCTGCTTGTTTCTTCTTGATTGTCCTCCTCTGGGTGCAGCAGCACATACCCGAGAGGTAAAGCTGCTGTAACTGTGTGGGCAGCAGTCGCTGGAGGGCTGCAGCAGAGAGAGGAGTGTCCCCTGTGGTTTTATCACCCCTGTGGCTCTTTCTCCGTGAGCAGTATTTCTGGGCGCCCTGTGTGCCACCTGCTGCTGAGTGGCCTCCCGCCTGTTTGCACATCCTATGGGCTGTGCCCTGTTTGCTCCACGCTCCGGGTACCAGGTAGAGGAGAAGCCGAGTGCAATTCTGCTGTGTCCTTCTGGGGGTCTTCCCATACGTGAGAACCGCTGGTGCTGTGAGTGGTGGTTCGCTGGCCGTGCGGTGTGCTGTTTTGTCCTCAGCTGTCCTTCCAGAAAGGAAAAATAGGAGTAAGAGGGGAGAAAAGGAGGAAGGTGAGCACCGTGGGTCTAGTTCAAGGTGTTTTTTATTTTCCTCTTTTAAATAGATAGCAAAATCAGATCATATGTGCAGGTTGTTTAGAATTCATAAATCTTTCACTGCTGGTCTCACACCACCATGTAGCCTCTCTTACAGTCAAATTGACCGACCCTGCTTTCACTGAGTCGAGGAGTTCACTGCACTCTTTCCAGTATCTTTCAAAAACTAGTGTCTTTCTAAAATGATTTCACAAGCATAAGATCAACTCGAGTGAATCTGAGCATATGCAACAACTTTTATGCATCTAATATACATGTAGTAATATATGTGTGTTTGTTTTCTTTAGGAGCAGCATTTACTGAAGGGTTATCTAGTGGTTTAAGTACTTCTGTGGCTGTATTTTGCCATGAATTACCTCATGAGCTAGGTAAGAATAATATTTCAGTGTGCTACAGCTGTCTAGGTACTTACATGTTTGCTTTGGAGAACTGTGTTCTGCAAATGTTTTGTTTTGTGGCATAGTAAGATTGGTATGGAAGGTCTCTTACATGTTTGAATTATTGGTGAAAGAACTTCAAGTTGAAGGACTGTTGAGTCTGACCTGTTTTAATGAATATTTAATTCAGAAATCTACACATCTCAGCTGTACTCTCTTTACGGTTCATTGTTTCTCGCATTTATCTGCAAGAAACTTAATTATCTGCAAGAAAATTATTTAGTATTGGTATTGTACGAGCTCAGCTTAATTGTAACATCTTAAGGTGGAAAGTTGTAACAAATGTCTCTGCCTCTTGCTTTGAGACTTTTGTTCACTTAACTGGAGAAAAGTGTTCATTTTGTATAGAATCAAATTTATTTTCAAAATGCATTTAAAAAAGGTTGTATTGTTTTAGTGTGGGTTGGTTGTTTGGCTATATAATATTGTTATGAAGCACACATACTTGGAATAAGGGGAAAACTGGTTCTGCTGGTTACCTGTTCTTTCAAACAAAATTAAAACGTTAGAAGTCATTTACAGAAATGAGTAAAGAAATTGAAAATTTAGACGTGTCTGAAAGTATGACAAACTGGTAGAGGATAACAAGTAGAACCATTTTGACACTATTGCTGTATGAATTGGGTTTGTTTTTGTTGTTATTTTTAAACTGTCGTGGAATGCTGATACATATCAAGTACTGCAATATTTTGTAGCATTGGTTTAAATAGAGAATAGACTAAAAGCTTTTTTTTCCTGGAAATACTAAAACTTAAGTGCTTATTTGTTATTCTATTTTTTTGTGTCTACTAATTTTGTGAAGGAAAACACATAGACAGTGACAGCATAAAAGTGGCCTAGTGATGATATAAGTGCTAAAAAGAAATCACAGATTCTGCAGTAGTTGCATTTGGATGTGAATTTTGTGCTGTTTCTCCTGTAGGAGATTTTGCTGTGCTTCTAAAGGCTGGTATGACTGTCAAACAAGCCGTGCTTTATAACGCCCTGTCAGCTATGCTGGCCTATCTTGGAATGGCCACTGGGATTCTCATTGGGCACTATGCAGACAATGTTTCAATGTGGATATTTGCCCTTACTGCTGGCCTGTTCATGTACGTGGCGCTTGTGGATATGGTAAGTGGCTTGACCTTCTTAAATTTTACATAATGTAAACCAAATATTAATACCAGTTATTTTTGACCATTAAAAAAACCCTACCTTCCATCAATAAACTACTTTTCTTAATTTGAAGGAAATGAGGATTATTAACTTTGTCTAGTTAAAAGTAATTTCATATCTTAATATTTATTTACATTTGCCATTAGAACAGAGCTTGTTTCTGCCTCTCTATTTAGAGGCAGTTAAGAGCAGAGGGTACAGTAAAAATTTGCTTCTGACATACTTAAGGCATCGGCCTAATTATGAAAAGTTTTTAGACTGTTACAACCTCTTGCAGTCTCTAAACAGCTCATAGGAAAGTGAACTATGATGCTCTTTCTTGTGTTGGCTCTTTCCTTATTCCAGCAGTGTGGGATTAATGGAGCCAACAGGGATTTCTAACAGACTTAGCATGCCTAGTGGTTGAAAAGGGTGGTTCTGAATAACCATGTATTCTGAAGTCATTTAACACTTTCTTGTTTGCTTAGGTGCCTGAAATGCTCCACAATGATGCTAGTGATCATGGATGTAGCCGCTGGGGATATTTCCTGTTACAGAACGCTGGGATTCTATTGGGCTTTGGGATAATGCTGCTTATCTCTGTATTTGAACATAAAATTGTATTCAGCATAAACCTGTAGTCTTGCTCCTATGAGCAAAGCTTAATGTTAAATTATGTTTGGTACAACTTCTTCCCTCCAACTTCCATTAAATACTGTCATGCAGAGGTAGGTTTAATATAGATTAGATATTTGTATTGATGTGCCATGGTTTCCCTCATCTCCCTCCCCTAAAGTAGAAGTAAGATTGTTGGTTTTTTTTTTTTTTTTTTACTCGGTTCAATGTTGACTGTGATGGTACTGTGGAAAGTTATACATAATAAAGGATGATAAAGTGCCAAATCTGTTAAAGGAGTATTGTCATTGTCGCTTAGGGAGAGGGACGGCTTTTTTTTCTTCTTAAAAAAAGAAGCTCATAAACTCATAAAATGAGTTTTATTCCTGCACAATTAAGAACAGTCAATGCTCACAAGTCTGTAGGGCCAGATGGGATCCACTGCAGGGTTCTAAGGGAGCTGGTGGAAGTGCCTCCCAAGCCGCTCTCTGTCAATGGTCCTGGTCAACAGGGGAAGTCCCAGAGGACTGGAAACTTGTCAGTGTGATGCTCATCTACAAGGAAGGTTGGATGGAGGATCTGGGGAACTACAGGCCTGTCAGCCTGACCTCAGAACAGATCATCTGGAGGAAGATCACCCAGCATGTGTGTGACCACCAGGGCATCAGGTCCAGTCAACAGGGGTTCATGAAAGACAGGTCCTGTCTGACCAGCCTGCTCTCCTCCTGCGATGACCAGGTGCCGGCCTAGCAAAGGAGGGAAAGAATGTGGACATGGGACACTTAGATTTCAGCAAGGCCTTTGACACACACAGTGTCCCGCTGCCTTTGCTGGAGAAGCTGGCAGCTCATGGCTTAGACACGTGTACTCCTTGCTAGGTGAGGAAACTGGATAGCTGGGCCCAGAGAATGGGGTGCTAAAATCCAGCTGGCAACCAGTCATGAGCCGTGTTTCCCAGGGGTGAGAATTGGGGCTGGTCCTCTTTAATCAATGATCTGGGTGAAGGAAAGTGCACTCTTAGCAAATTTGTGGATGACACCAAGATGGGAGGAAGAGTTCATCTGCTTTAGAGTAGAAAGGCTTGCATAGAGAGATCTGCCCAGGCTAGATCAATGGGCTGAGGCCAACTGTGTGAGGTTCAAGAAGGCCAAGGGCCAGGTCCTGCACTTCGATTACAACCACCCCATGCAGCGCTACCGGTTGGGGGCAGAGTGCCTGCAGAGCAGGGCAGCACAAAAGAATCTGGGGGTGCTGGTCAACAGCCAGCTGAACATGAGCCAGCATGTTCATGTGGGCCCCGGTGGCCCAGAAGACTAATGGCCTCCTGGCTTGTATCAGGAACAGTGTGGCCGGCAGGATGAGGGAAGGGATTGTCCCCCTGTACTCGGTGCTGGTGAGGCTGCAACTCCAATACCTTGTTCAGTTTTGGGCTCCTCACTACACAAAGGACATTGAGGAGCTGGAGCATGCCCAAAGGAGGGCAATGAAGCTGGTGCAGGGGCTGGAGCAGCTAAGGGAGCTGGAGTTATTCAGTGTGGAGAAGAGGAGGCTCAGGGGAGACCTTATTGCTCTCTGCAACTACGTGAAAGGAGTTTGCAGTGAAGTGGGGGTTGGTCTCTTTTCCAAAGTAGATACTGATAGGACAAGAGGAAATGCAGCAGGGGAGGTTCAGGTTAGGTAATAGGAAAAAAAAATCTGTATGGAAAGAGTAGTCAAGCATTGGAACAGTCAGTAAAAGATCTTTCAATACTACTCTGACTTACGAGCAAATGAAAAGGAGCAAGTGACGGCTGCTTTCCTGTCTTACAAGAGGCTATTAGTCTTAAGGATGGGAGGCCTCTGCTACAGCTCCCTGTAAGTTCCTCTTCTAAAACAGAGCAAGCAGAGCCTATCGCTATTCACCTGACGTGTATGGTGACCCTGCAAGCTGAGAGATCTCCTTTGAAAATGCAGTTCTCATGTGTTACGTCCTCAGATATTCAGGAGAGACAAGTTGATGGTGTTTGAACATTGCGTGTGAAACTGACTTGATCCTGAGGGGTCTTATCAAGCTCCCTCAAATCTGCACACATATAAACCTGCATAACTGATTGCTCAGTGCTCAGTGAGCTCACTGAACAAAAGTGTCCACAACGAAGAGCAGGCTTTCCGGAGAAGAGAGGTTTTTTTTTTCCTCTCTCTCTATCAAGGGGTTTAGAGGTTATTGTTTCTTTTACTCTCCACCACTGCATTTTTCATTCAGTCTCTGTACTTCCTTAATTAGGAGCAAACCTCTTGTAAAGGCAAAACAAAATCCAGATGCAGTCTCCCAGGAGGAACCCTGTAATTTGAGGTGTTGAGAAGTCACTGATGACCATTTGGTATGTTTCATTGGTATATCCTGGGTTGTCCATTCTATGATACCTCTATTTCATTTTTTCTTTACAGTTGTCATACTCTAATGTTCCCATCTTCTTACATCTTTGTTATATATTCCATGCTCTTGATTCAATTATCAAGAGGAATATACAAATTCTAGTCTGTTTTCAGTGAGGCTTTCTACATAATAAAGTAACATTGAAATATATGTGCATCAAAATACACTGCTAATGCAACAACATGGGAAAAAAATGAATACACTTTTGGAGTATTTGGGGAGAAATGACTAGGTAACCTTGTAAGTTATCAGATGATTCAGTGCTATGGGATGAATGCTCAATAATTTAATGATCACTCTTTAGAGCAGATGTGAATCATTGACAACTGTCCACATTAGTAACTGACTAAAAGAATAAAATGCAATTCACAGTGGTTTTATACTTTCAGATGGCAAGCATTATTACAACTTTTGTGGAAAAATGTCACTCTGTTTGCCACAAGAAATAGATGTTTTCATGAATAAATATATATATATATAATCTAACATACACACACGTACTCATATATACACACATATACATTATATATATATGTGAGCGGGAAACACACACAGGAAGTTGGGGCTTGAGCAGAACACACACACACAGGAAGTTTGTATTTTTACAAGGAGGGATGAAATCGTCCCCTCTTCTTTGGCTGATGAGCAGGACAAAGGCACACAGGCAGATGGGAGACTGAGCCGAGCCAGGAGTGGGGATGGGAGCGTGAGAGGAGCCTGGAGTGCGGGAGACAAAGGACTCAGGTGACCTTAGGTGTGAACACCTGGAGGGAGGCAGTGAGTTGGGTGTAGGCGGCAGGGCAGGCTGTAACTCCTGAGTCCCTTGGCCAACTGGGAACAGGAGAGGGCCACCAAGGCCAGGAAATTAGGATAAAAAGGGGGCTCCAGCAACTTCAGAGACCCCACAGAGGTGTGCCTGGTGGGTTCTCCCTTTATTTGAATAGTTTTGGGTCTCTTCTGTCTCCTTTTTGGACATTCAGTTCTTTTCCGCACATATGTATACATACATACATATATATGTACATATACATATATAATCTTCCATGCTTAAGTGCATGAAACAACCACTCTATGAATTGTATTGTTGAGTGCTAGATTAAATAAACTGTTCAACAAGATGATATTTCTTGAATATTTTTTTCCTACTGGTGTACTACTTCTACTTACTTACACCTTGCTTACACCCAGGCACATTTTTGAAAACTTGAAATTATGTGAAACACAATTTTAGTAAGTGGCCGCGCCTGCCGGCTTCTCTCGCGTGCCTTTATTCCCTCGGGGCAGTAGAAACCCCGCGTGCTCGAAGCAGAGGAGCGCCCCCGCGAGGCCGTTAGGGCCGTTATCGCCGTTAACGGCTGGCAGAGGCGGCCGCAGCCGGCGCTTGCGCGTTGCGG